TTCTCCTTGCCCTGCTATCTCTGGTTGATTTCCCTATCTCTCGACTCTTGATAGATAAGGCAAAATATTTTATGCCAAGACAAATGAAACGTAAAAGGGAAAAATGTAAGAGAAATAATTTTTTGAGAAATAATATCTGAAAAAGATCACTGCCAAGTCATGTCACATCAGGCTTAACAAACTTCTTTGAGACTCATGCTTGGAGGTTTATTTGATTATTCGTCGGGGAGTTTTCAGAGTCATTCTGGACTTGTAGATCCATGCTGAAATTTTGAGGTCATCCGCGAAATTTCTGTACCAGTTAACTATAATAGCTTATCTTTGAACTGTCGCTGAGTAAATCGTTGAATTTTTTAGATCCTCTCAAAAACTCTGTCACAGTTGCAAATCTTGGAATATCTTCAGTCTTGGATTGTTGAGGAAAGATCTTCTTCTCGAGAATTTTTGAGTCCCTTTAAAAAATTCTGTCCCAGTTTCTATTGTAAAGAGGAATAGAAATCTTACAGGAGATATGACCGAACCCTTGTGGGGCCTATGTATCCCGTTGAGGCAGGGATCAGGTCAGATGTAGTTCTCCCTTAAAACTTACCAAAAGAAGAAAATTTTACAAAGAAAACCGACTGAGGCTAACATAGGCCGCCTACGTATCCCAATCTTGAGAATTCAGGTCGAACGTAGTTCAAATATAAGGAAATATTAAAAGGGGCAAATGGGGTGACCGAAGCCGGCATACGTCGCCTATGTATCTCATTCTTGAGGATTCAGGTCAGATGTAGTTCATTACAAAGTGATAAAAATTTAAGCAAAACAAATACAACAAATAGAATGATTACAACTAAATAACAGAAATACAAACCGAAGCTTCACTTGTAGAATCTTTTGACAGCATTCGAGTTGATTTGTTTTGGCCATGCGGTTCCATCCATCTCCGACAAGACCAAAGCACCTCCAGATAATACCTTGCAATCCATGTAGGGTCCTTGCCAATTTGGCACAAATTTTCCTTTGTATTCGTCTTGATAAGGGAAAATGCACTTAAGGAGCAATTGACCAACTTCAAAAATTCAGGCTCTTACTCTCTTGTGAAAAGCACGAATCATTGTCTGTCGATAAAATTGACCATGATAGACGACAATCATTCTCTTCTTGTCAATCAAATTTAACTGATCGATTCTCTTTCTAACCCATTCAACATTACTCAACTTAGCTTCTTGGATGATTCTCATTAACAGTATCTCAACATTAGCAGGTATGACTGCCTCTGTTCCATATAGCAGTAAGTATGGAGTAGCTCCAGTCGATGTTCTGACGGTCGTTCGATAACCCAATAAAGCATATGGCAACATCTCATGCCGACCTCAATGATTGTCAATCATCTTCCTCAGGATATTCTTGATGTTCTTATTGGTAGCCTCCATAGCTCCATTCATTTGAGGGCGATAAGAAGTTGAGTTTCGGTGAGTAATATTGAATTTCTCACATATCTCTCTCATCAAGTGACTGTTGAGATTTGCACCATTATTAGTAATGATCGACTCTGGTACTCCGAACCTGCATATCAGATTGTTGCGAACAAAATTAGCAAAAAATTTCTTGGTTACGCACTTGTAAGAAGCTGCTTCCACCCACTTGATGAAGTAATCAAGGGTAACCAAAATGAATCTGTGTCCATTAGAAGCGGTTGGCTCTATCGGACCGATGAAATCCATACCACAAGCTACAAATGGCCAAGGTAAACTCATAGCTTTAAGCTCGTGAGGTGGCACTCGGATCAAATCACCTTGCACTTGACATTTATGACGTTTTTGCACAAACTTGCAACAATCATTCTCCATAGTCATCCAGAACTACCCGATTCGAAGGACACATCTGAGAAGACCCAAATCTGGAGTCCTCCTATAAAGGATTTCTCCACTCATAAAGAAATTAAGAGCCATACGGCGTATCGACTTCTTTTGGTTGGACTTAGCATCTTCAGGATAAGTTCCAGACTCCAAATACTTCTTTATATAAAGATATCAAGGCAAACCGTCCAGTTCTTCTTCAACATGAGAACAATGGACTGGATGTTCCTTCAACTCTATACCCAGAGGATCAATATAATCTATATTAGGATGTTTAATCATCAAAGTGATGGTGTTAAGAGCATCAACCAACTCATTTTTTATTCTGGGAGTGTGCCTAAACTTGATCTTACAAAACCTCTTGCGCAGCTTCTGCACATATTGCACGTACGTTATAATCATCGGGTTCTTTATAGCCCATTCTCTTTGAACCGGATGAATCAAAATATTTTAGTCTCCAATAACCAACAACTCGTAAACATTCATGTCGATGGCCATCTTCAACCCGAGAACACGAGATTCGTATTCAGCCATGTTATTTGTGCAATTAAATTGGAGCTTAGATGCCATGAGGTAATGATGCCGAGATTCTGACACTAAAACCGCCCCAATACCTTTACCTTGATGGTTCGCCGCTCCATCGAAGAATAATCTCCAACCAGGGTATGCCTCAAAAATATCTTCACCCACAAATGCCACTTCTTTACCATGAAAATAAGTCTTAAGCGGTTCATACTATTCATCAATGGGATTTCTACAAGATGATCATCCAAAGCCTATGCTTTTATCGCCTTCCGAGTCACATACACAATATCAAATTAACTCAACAACATTTGACACTTAGATAACTTTTCTCTCGGCATCGCCTTCTGGAAGATATACTTCAGTGGATCTATTCTGGAAATGAGTTATGTAGTATAGGAAGACAAATAATGTCTCAACTTCTGGGCAAGACATGTCAAAGCATAACACGTTCTCTCCATCAAAGTGTAATGAGACTCATATGAAGAAACTTCTTGCTTATATAATAGATAGCCCTTTCCTTCTTTCCTGTCTCGTCGTGTTGACCAAGTACGCATCCGAATGCACTATCTGAGACAGACAAGTACAACAACAAAGGACTCCTTTCCCGTGGAGGAACCAATACTGGTAGATTGGACAAATAGTTCTTGATAGCTTCAAAAGCAGTCTGACACTCTTCAATCCACTTTGTCGGGGCGTCTTTCTTCAATAGCTTGAAAATAGACTCACACACCATGGTTGATTGAGCTATGAATCGACTGATGTAGTTTAACCTCCCTAAGAAACTCATCACTTCTTTTCTTGTCTTCGGTGGAGGCAACTCTTGAATTGCTTTAATCTTAGAAAGATCGAGCTCAATACCCTTTCTGCTGACTATAAATTCCAACAACTTTCTGGCTGGAACTCCAAAAGCTCATTTGGCAGGATTTAACTTCAAGTTGTAACGATGCAAACGATCAAAGAATTTCCTTAGATGTGTCAAGTGGTCCAAACTCTCGCGGGACTTGATTATGATGTCATGCACATATACTTCAATCTTCTTATGAATTATGTCATGAAATCTGGTCGTCATAGCCATCATATAGGCACCACCAATATTCTTGAGGCCAAATGGCATCACTCTATAATGATATACACCCCAAAGTGTAATAAAAGCTGTCTTTTCTGCATCTTCCTCATCCATCAGAATTTGGTGATAACCTGTGTAAGAATCTACAAATGAATTAATTTAATGTTTAGCACAGTTATCAATCAAAATATGAATATTCGACAATGAAAAATTATCCTTCAGGCTAGCTTTGTTAAGGTATTTGTAGTCGACACAAATCTTGATTTTCCCGTCTTTTTTTGGCCACCAGAACAACATTGGCCAGCCAAGTTAGATATTGTGTCACTTCCACCAATCGAGACTCTATCTGCATGGTGATCTCTTCTTTAATCTTTAAACTCAGTTCAGGCTTAAATTTCTGAGTTTTTTGTTTCACCGAGTCAAACCCCGGGTTGATCGGTAGTTTATGAGATACAACGTCAGTACTCAGTCCTTGCATGTCACTGACTTCCCAGACAAACACATCAATGTATTCAGAGAGTAAATGAATCGGGCCCTTTCTCCGAGTTTCATTTAAGTTGATGTTGATCTTTACCTCTTTAACGCATTCTACGTCTCCCAGATTTACCGTTTCTGTTTTCTCTAGATTCCGCTTATTTTGATTTTCAAACTGCCGGAATTCCTTGGCAACATACTCTGGTTCCTCACTTTCTTCTTTATAATCATCAACCGCGTCATCACCTGCCTCATTTTGTTCATTCAGCTCGTGACATGATGTGACATTGGCAGGTGTAAAACTTACATTACTGAAACCATAAACAGACAAAGTTACAAAGTAGAGTATAACAGATGAATAAATAAATAAAGTTTAAAAACACAAGAGGCTTTCATTCAAATCGAAAAACAATGCAAACTTGGCCATGGCATAGGGCCATGTTGCCTTCTTTGAACATCACTATGAAAATTCAAAAATAAAACAGTTCAAAAATATGCAAAATGGTGGGTCTCGGGTTTCTTCGGACTACTACCGATTTTAATATGCATAAAATGACGCCCTTCTACCGAGGAATTCGGGGAATCAAGATAGGTGCGGAGGTCCAGTTCTGCAGCATGTCTCCTGGCTCAGCATCGCGGATACCAGCTAGCTCGACCTCTTCCTCAATAACAACATCGATATCCTTGAAGAGGTCACAGATTCCTTCCCCAAGGTCTTCATGCTTGGCATACTACCAGACTGGGAAAGATTGATACATATGTGGGATCGGCTTAGCCAATGCTTGATCATTTTTCTTCTTCTTCTTTATGTCATCATCTGTGGGGATGTACCCTCAACCATATATGGCTCCTTTGACGAGGACCGGAATAGGCTCAATAATTCCTTGGGAATTTCTTATCAATCCGAAACCTGGTTCAAAACCATTCTGCAGCATCACAGTGGCTATCATCTTGTACACAGCAGGCATGGGAGTCTGTGGGGACAAGTCTTCACCAGTGGCATTTACGAGCTCCACCATGAATAAATCTGTACCTCACGATACTTCATCAATGATTGGGGTCTGTCTTCCAGAGTGACTCCCTTCTCCATGAATAACCATCTCTTCTTTCTTCCAAACGAGCTTCATCATCTGATGCAAAGTAGAAGGGACAGCTCCAGCCATATGGATGAAAGGCCTCCTCAGAAGAAGTTTATAGCTGGTGTCGATATCAGATACTTAAAACTGTGCATTGAATTCTGCTGGACCCATTTGGATGATCAGATTCACTACTCCCAATGTATCTCTTTGAACCCCATCAAAGGCTCTTATGTTGACTTAGTTTTGTTCCAACTTCTCGAGGTCAAACCTTAACTGCCTCAGTGTCAAAAACGGGCATATATTCAGACTAGATCCATCATCTACTAAGAAGCGGTTGACAACCTTTTTGCGGCATACCACAATGATGTGCAACGCCTTATTGTGTGACCTCTTTTCAAAAGGTAGCTCATCATTACAGAAGTTGCTTCTGTGCCATAGAATAACCTGGTGAATCATAGCGGCCAAGTTATCGCTGCTTGTGCCTGCGGGTACATATGTATCATAGAGTGCCTTCATCAAAGCCAATCTTTGCAATTGAGAACTCATCAACAAGGCCCATATGTATCATAGACTACATTCTTCTCTAGAATTCCTCCGTTTCTCCTTCGCTTATTGGCCTTGTATCCTGATCCTTCTTTCGACCTCCCAGAGCAAGCTTGTCAGGAGTGTAACATCTTTCGGATCTGGTCATACCTTGAGCAGCAGCAGTTTCAATATTGAACTTTGGCTTAATGAGAGTTTTTGATGGCACCAAAGCAACAACCTTTGGGGGTAACAAAATAACGAACTCTTTCTTCTTTTTGATGATCAAAGAAGCTACAGCCTTTTCTAAATCATCGTGAACAATGGGAGTAATAATTTTTGTTCCACACCAGTCATCGTCTGTCTCGATCATATTGACATTGCCGCCCCCATGATTCGGCAATTGGTTGGTCTTTACATTTGGTGCCGCTGATTGGAGAGAGACTACCTCTTGGTCAATCAAACCTTGAATTTTGTGCTTGAGGTTGATACTGTCCTCGGTATCATTCCCAACACTGTTGCAATGATAAGCACATCTCTGATCTGGTCTGTAGAATATTAAATTGACATCCATGGGCTTGGGCCCCACTGGGTTGATATATCCAGCCGCAGCCAGTCGCTCGTACAACTTTGTTCAGCTTTCAGCGAGCGTAGTGAAGTTTCTTGAAGGCTTCTTCTCGAATCTGGGTTGGGGAGGGTTATAACTGCCTTGTTGAGGAGGAGGCACCTGTTGATAACTTCTGGTATTTGGATGGGGAGCTTGGCTTATGGGATATGGATGTGTTTTGTAGTTTGGCGATGGATCTCGGTAATTCGGAGTGGAATTTTTGTATAGTGGAGCTTGGACTTGATAAACAGGAGGGGTGCTTGATAGCTCGACTGCACATTAGAACACTTGGGAGCAACACCCTGGTAGGGAGACGGAATTTGGTAGGGTGGAGGATGATTTGGGTAAATGGGAGATGGATTTTGGTAATACGGGGCGTGAACTTTGGTATAGTGGAGCTTGGACGTTTGGATAAATGGATGCATCATTCTGATAAATTGGAGGATATTTGGGATGACTAGCTTGTGTGTAGCAAGCTTGGTGGGAATTTCGGAAGGTCGAGAGCGACCTTGGGAATATGACGAGCTTCTAGGGTTTTCCTTCCCCAATATGAAACAACAACAATTTCCTCTCTTTTCTTTTTCAACAACCCTGAAAATCCAAGCGATGCGTCTACACGGGCTATCTTTCCTTATTTTAAACCATCCTTGATAGTCTCACCAATCTTGACTATCTTGGCAAACATTGCTCCAATGAGCAACATAATTCTATCATAATATTTAAGCTCTTACACGTGTACGAATACTTCAATGATTTCTTTCTTAGACATGGGTGGTCTCACCCTTGCCACTTCTTTTCTCCACCTAGGTGAACAACCTATAAGTCTTGGTTGATTTTTGTTTTATCTTCTTCAAAGAGTATCGATCTGGCATAATTTCTATGTTGTAAGCAAATCGATCGATAAAATCTTTGGCTAATGCATTCCAGCTGGGCCATTGCCTGGTTTCATCCGATGTGAACCATTCAGAGCTTCGCCGCACAGGCTTTGGATGAAGAGCCTCATCAGTAAAGCTTCATCCCTTCCAACTCCCACGAGCTGTTCACAGTAGGATCTCAAATGAGCTATAGGGTTGCCCACTCCTCCGAAGGTGTCAAACTTCGGTATCTTGAACCCTTATGGAGGTCCAAATTTGATGAATACATAAGTCTTCAAAACTAAGCCCGGCGATATCAAGGATGCATTGGAGCTCCTTCATGGCCTTCTTGATATCTTATTTTATGTTAACATTTATCTCTTCCTTTGCCCTCCACTCCTTTTTCTGTTCCTCATAATGGTCCAGCTCAGAATCGTGCACATCGTGCTCGGTAGGGAGGGGGATTTGGAAAGTGGTTCTTTTGGGTAATGGTGGAGATACAGAGGGACTCTCACTATTTTGAGCATTTTTGATATTTTTGTGGGTACGTATGAGGATTGATATTCTGATTTAAGTGGTGGTGGGGTGTTTGAGGATTGAAAGTGTTTTGGTTTTGATTTTGGTTTTGATTTTGTGGTGGTAGAGCAGTTTGATAGTGGGTATTTTAGGGATGGGGTGGCATTTGGGGGTGGTTGTTTTGAGGATGAGGTGAAGTTTGGTAGGATGCAGAAGCATATTGGGGATTTTGGGTAGTCAGATCTGATGGATTCTGAGCAGGTGTAGATGGATGGTTTTGGGCTGGATCCATATTTGAAGAAGGGAAGTATATTTGAGGTATCCCATCAGCTGCGTTAGCAACAAATCCTGGTGGAGACAGATCATGTCTCTTTTGTATCTCTACCCTCATCTCTGCAATTTATTTCATCAGCTGCAAAATCAACTCATTCTAGTACGCTATGGTGGGTTGAGCCACCACAACATCAGTAAGACTCACTTCTTCGTTATTATCCCCCATAACTGTCTTTCCTTTTTCTGAGCTTTGTCTAGGGAAGGAATCTTCGGGACCTTTTGATCTGGTGAAATAGGGATGATCTGCCAGCTTTTGATCAACACAGATCAGTTTCAAAGTAC